TCACAATAGAACTTGTCCGCGAACTTTTTCTAACACCCCCTCGTATATTCAATAAAGCCATAACTTATACATTTTTTGACTGAAATGCTTTGAAACTCATTGCATGAGGATATATTAAAGCTGACATGAACTCTTAAAAAGCCATCATTTTTCATCTTTGTACGCATCTATGATATTCCTGTACGCCTTTCGTCCGCCATATTTCTTCGATTCCGCCATATTTAATTGAAAATTTTTGGTCACCTGTACCTGCTATATATAGCCTTGTACGATTGCTTCACTTGAGTGATTTTCTAGCCTGACTGTCAACATGCAACACATCTCCGATAACAAAGTTTTTAGAAGTTCATAAACTGACCAAATACATGTTTGAAAAGTAAAAATTCAACAAAAAATAGAACTATACCGAAAATTAAATTATTTTTGAATGCATTTGTTGCAATATAGAAAATAAACTAACACGGAATACATACATGTACATCAAACACCCATGCAGGTCGAGGAAACGCGTCAAACGCAGTGATAAAAACATTTACCTGACTACTGTTATCGTTACAGGGATGTGCACATGTCGAAAGAATTATCCTATTTTACTTTTATTGAAAAATGCATCTCAGAAGTCATGTAATCCATTGCTAACTCAACAGTAAAAGAAGCTTGGACACACATGGCCCATGCCGATCATTTTATTTAGTCAGGGAAAATATCAAAGGTTGAAAGCTCAGTGGGGTTGATTGAAAAAAAAAATGCAAGTAATTTTTTTCAAAAATAAACAATACTCTTGTCTGTACATATTGTAAATAAAATTTACGATTAAGTACATGATTTAACTTCATCAAATTCATAAAAAAGCAGGCATTATTACGAATCATTCACCTTTTGAAGATATTTTCCCGTGATATGAAGGGGGGGGGGGGTGTAATAAAACATGCATACACTTTCATAAAAATAATATAAGAAAAACGTCTGAAACAGATTGGATTTCTTTATGATCAATTATTATCAAATAAATACTGTGTATTGGCTTTATTAGACCTAATATAATTTGATTTAAAGTTATTTATAATTTTATGCACTATGAAAGAAAAAGTGAACACGTTCACATACCCCACGCTACCATACTTAGCATATTTTTAAAAAAGTCGAAGTGCTAAAAAAAATTCCTAGAAAAAATAAAGGAATCGTAATTTCCTTGTAATATGCATATCTATACACATTGTGTCCTAAATACCTGCAAAGTTTGACAAAATTGTGTGCCGCGGTTTATGAGAAGTTGCGCTGACAAATTGCTCACCTCTATATTCAAGATATGGCCAAAATCTAAATGTAAAAGTGAGGAAATTCCCGAAAAAATAAGGAATTCGGAATTTCCTGGTGATGTGCAGATCTACACACACATTGTCTCCTATAAATATCTGCAAAGTTCGACAAAACTCTGTACAGTGGTTTATGAGAAGTTGCGCTAACCAAAAAAAAAAATGACTGACTGACGGGTCAAAAACATTATACCTCACGCGTGGGGTATAATAAACGAGTTTGATTCTTTGGTACAATGATAATGAAAATAGAATTTAATGTGAATTAAATTTCTAGACATAAATAATTAATGATTATTAGAAAAAGCATATAGGAAGAGAGAGTAAACTCCTCGTGAGAATTCTACATTCTACCAATAACTAGCTTTTTAACAATTCTCTTGTCTGTTGTCCAAGTTCGACACATACGTTTGAGAAGGTATTCGAGAAAGTTCCCAATGTTCCCATTCCTGTGATTAATATTTCACGTTTATTACATCCCCCGCCTGAAAAGTGGGAGGTAATCGTTATGTCCGTTCGTCTGTCTGTTACGCTTTTTGGGTACTCATCTCTTATCCGCAAATCCTCTTACACCACTTAGAGAAATTTAATGAAACTTTCAAAGAATCTTAAGATTACTATATATTACCATTATGCATCTCCTATTTTACTTTTTGATCTGATACGTATGGGTTTGGCGAAATATGGACTTTGCCATTATAACCATATGGGAGGCAGGGGGTATTATTTAGTGAGTTCATTGCTCAGAATACATGTACGTCTAGTTTCTCTTTCAATTTGGGCGTTTGGGCTAATTTCTTATCCAAAGTAAAATTATTATTCAATTTATGAAGTTTCGACATCCCGCCTGAAAAAATCCTTGATCTGTCCTAAGGCATAATAAATGGAACAGTACAAAGTGCGTAGGATTTTATACCTATCATTGACCCAACAGGTGGGTTACAGACAGACAGAGAGAGAGAGAGAGAGAGAGAGAGAGAGAGAGAGAGAGTTCAATATACGAAAGAATAAATAATAATTATCCGTATTAAACCAGCGTCAAGTATCCCTACCCTAGCTTTTAAAATTATCTCCCAAATTCACCGCACAGAAATTATTTATATATATATATATATAAAATACCTAGACTATCAGGCAGGGATACTGAAATCTCGTAATACTTCTTGTAACAACATAACTATAAAACAGTTACATTCCTCAAAATGAACATACTTTGTGGTCGGAGTGACACATTTTTAAAAAATTTCAAAACTGAATTCGGCAGAAATGTCTGTCTTCCAAGAATATTTAAATACCGGTCATGTCAATTATTTTTGTATGCCCCCCCCCCCCCCGTCCAAAAAATCAAATGCCTAAATGTCAATCTCAACAGGGGATGGCCTTTCTCCGTTTGTGTATGTGTTAAAGAATGTATAGATGTACACATAAAAATTTGTATTCTGGGTTAATTGCTTTTAAGATTTGAAGTAAATTATAGCCGTACATCAAATTACTTTGTTTAGATTTGAGATTAGTACTAAAATAATCAGTTATAATTGAGAAATGAATTTTACGACGCAAACCAACTGCAGACTTTATACATGACTTTGTATAGAATGTATATTACTAATTAGAACTACATGTAGATAAACAATTCACAATTATAGCTTATGAACATCAGTTATAATATCCCCCCCTTTCAGCCGCGCAAATACCAAATAACTTCTCTTTCCACTTGTGATATTTTCCCTGACCAAATTCTGATCAGCACGGACTAAGTGTATCGTCGTGCTAGTGTGTACGGAGTAATGACAGTGTGTTTACTATTGAGCTTTTATGGAGTTTATTTCTTTTTTGTGATGCATATTTCAATAAATGGAACTCAGGGTGTATTTCACTTGACTTGTGCACATCTTCGAACCGATGCAGTTACCTTATTACCAGGTATGGGTACGTTTACAGCGTTCGAGGCGTTTTCTCGATATGCATCAATTGCATATAGGACCTGCAAATCAAAACGTTGGTTGTTTTATTCCATTCAAATGTTATAATTTCAAAATGTGTTTGCAAATTTTACTGCTTTTTATTTCAAGTTTATTCTGCATAAATTGACGCACTGTAAAAATATGTACTCAAGCATCTAAATTTCTCTTCCAAACTTGCATTTTTTTCTTTTGATTGAAATCAATAATCATTCAAAAATATGATTATTATGTTGTTTATTTTGTTTTTGAAATGTCTTGATCACCTCTATGTGTTCTCATATGCTTTACCATCGGAGATGTGCACAAGTTGATACCCAATCCAAAAAATCATTCAAGTGTAGCGAGCGCATTGGGGTATACATCGTTACAATGAGACAAGGTATCTGAAAGAAATAGGGCGGAATACGGCTATAGTTGGTATGAAACAAGTCGTACATAGATGAAAATGTTGCGTTTTTAAGAATTCATGTCAGCTTTAATAGTGTTAATATAATGACACTGTCAAATTAGCATGAACTCACGCGCGTGCACGTGCGCTTCGCTCTGATTGGCTGAAACTAAAATCTCAATATCTCTTTTGTTTTTTGAAGAAACCCTTTGAAATTTTAAACATAGTCATGCACTAGGATATCCTAGAATATGATATAGAAAAAATTTCATGAAATCACGCGCATGCACGTGTGCTGCAATCTGATTGGCTGAAACTTTAAATGGCTATAACTGATTTATTTTTTTGACAAAATGCTTTGACATTTAAAACATAGTCATGCATTAGGATATCCCGCAATATGATATAAAAAAATTCAAGAAATCATGCGCATGGACGTGTGCTGCAATCTGATTGGCTTAAACTTTAAACGGCTACATCTCCTTTGTTTTTTGACAAAATGCTTTGAAATTTAAAACATTGTCATGCATTAATATTTCCTACAATACGTTATAGAAAATAATTCATGAAATCATGCGCATGCACATGTGCTGCAATCTGATTGGCTGAAAAGTCTCAAATAGCTATAACTCCCTTGGTTTTCAACCAAACAGGATGGGATTTAGAACATAGATAGATATAAGGGACTCCTACAAAAAGGTATGGTCATCATGCACATGCATGCACGTGCGTGCACGTGAAATGAGTAAAATTACAAATACACTAGATTAAACGTATTTTTTGATACTTTTGGATTAAATGCTTTATTTCTAGTATATTAAAATATATAAATAGTGTAGACAAGATGATATGGTCATTACGCACATACATTCAAATGCGCATGCGTGCAATGCATAAATTTGAATATACTTAATATACTTCTGGGAAAACATTGTAATAGTCTAAAAGGCATAGAGTTCGTCTTATTTAATGAAACTTAAATGGAATAAGGCACCAAAAGGGAGTTGGGGAGCGTTTGGGGAACATCTGTAACGGTTTCCGTTACAATTAGCCCTAGTTTCATTTGCAGTAAAGGTTTACCCCTTTGTTTTGCACTTCCTAAGGGCTAAATTGCCTTGTTTGTTGGTCTGTTACCTGTTTTAGTTGAATCTTTTTCAGTTTGAAAAACAAATTTGGTACCGACTGTGCAGCACGTCTATCAACACTTCGTAATTCCCACTTGGCAATATCAGCATATAAAATGGTACTTGACACTCATCATTTTCTACCCTTCCTTTACCACAAAATATTGTTGGAAATGACAAATACTCGGCCATTTGATCTTGATACAAACTAACTGGACGCTGTCCCTCTCTCTCCTGGAGTAAATGTGAAGATCTGATTCATGTCATATGAGTCACTGTCTAGTAGAATATCACGATTTCCATCCTTACCACTATCAACTTCACAGAATTCATCCGAGTCTGATTCATCTGATTGGTCATGCATTGCTGAATCTTCATTCTGTATGACCCTCTATAAACTCTCTCATTAATTCACTTGCAGAATTGGTGACCTCATGGAACCAGTTGTCACCTATGTTTATGTTTGAATTCTGATAATATTCACTGTTTTTCAATAACCAATGTAAAGCAATCAGAACCTTTGTAGGTCGGATGTTTTCATGACAATAAGAGTGCTGAAAAAAATTCTTTTTAACTTCACAGGTATGGTAAGATTTTCATCAAGTCTCCGGGAAGATTATTGATTGTTGGTTGAATGTCAACTGGCACATTTAAAACATTTCCTTGTACAGAATATTGCCCTCCTCTTGATAATTCTTATCTGCATGAAGGGAATTCTTAAGGATACAAGTCTTTCTTCCAATGGTAACAGATTTAATTCATTTGGTTTTTGAATCCATATCATTCCATTTGTAACAGAGAGTTTTGGAGTTCGACTTTCTTTTAAACTTGAATTGCATGTGTTGCATATCCATTCCTGCCCGTTTACAGACTTTGTATTAGTAAAATACTTCCTTTTGATTTCAGCATCCAACAAAACATTATCTACATTTGAAACACTTTCATGAAACCATGTCTGTTGGCAACATGTGCATACAAACACAGGACCCATTCTTACATTGTTGTGAAAATTGTCAACACACTCAATTGCATCAACTCCAAATTTACTTTTTCTGTATCTCTGTTTTTCAGTGTCAATATAGTCCAAATTCCGCCGTGAGTGTGCTTTTGATTGTTTTGCAGCAATATTTTCTGATGATCTATATTCCTCATTTTTTCTCTTTTCTTTCATCTTCAATCTCTCTTTTTCTAACTGGCTAGAATTTTGTCTCATTTCTTTTTTCTTCTTTAAATCTCTTATTTGCTCATCATGCCTATACTCTTCTTCTTGCCTTTTATATCTCTTACTGTCTCTTTCCTTGTCTTTAAACTCTGCATCTTGTCGTTTGTTTCTCATACTGTCCCTTTCCTTGCTTTTAAACTCTGGATCTTGTCTCTTGTTTCTCTTACTGTCATTCTCTTTTTCTTTAAACTCTGCATCTTGTCGTTTGATTCTCATACGGTCCCTTTCCTTGTCTTTAAACTCTGGATCCTGTCTCTTGTTTCTCTTACTGTCCCTTTCCTTGCTTTTAAACTCTGGATCTTGTCTCTTGTTTCTCTTACTGTCCTTCTCTTTTTCTTTAAACTCTGCATCTTGTCGTTTGTCTCTCATACAGTCCCTTTCGTTGCCTTTAAACTCTGGATCCTGTCTCTTGGATCTTTTACTGTCCCTTTCCTTGCTTTTAAACTCTGGATCTTGTCTCTTGTTTCTCATACTATCCATTTCCTTGTTTTTAAACTCTGGATCTTGTCTCTTGTTTCTCATACTGTCCCTTTCCTTGTCTTTGAAATCTGGATCCTGTCTCTTGTTTCTTTTGCTGTCCCTTTCCTTGCTTTTAAACTCTGGATCTTGTCTCTTGTTTCTCTTACTGTCCCTCTCTTTTCCTTTAAACTCTGCATTTTGTCGTTTTTTTCTCATACTGTCCCTTTCCTTGTCTTTGAACTCTGGATCTTGTCTCTTGTTTCTCTTACTGTCCCTCTCTTTTTCTTTAAATTCTGCATCTTGTCGTTTGTCTCTCATACAGTCCCTTTCGTTGTCTTTAAACTCTGGATCCTGTCTCTTGTTTCTTTTACTGTTCCTTTCCTTGCTTTTAAACTCTGGATCTTGTCTCTTGTTTCTCATACTGTCCATTTCCTTGCTTTTAAACTCTGGATCTTGTCTCTTGTTTCTCATACTGTCCCTTTCTTTGTCTTTGAACTCTGGATCTTGTCTCTTGTTTCTCATATATTCTCTCATATATTCCTTTTTATCTTTCTTTATCGCTGTTTTTTTTAAGTGACCATTAATGGTACCAGCAGATTGTTTCTTTGTGAGAGCAGTTGTTGTTAACTGATCTAATCTACAATATTGATGTACACTTTGATTATTGCTAGGGAAGCTATGAATAAGAGTACGAAAGGCAACAGGCATCACTTCAAATTCAGTTGCAAATTCAATGTGCATACTTTCATACATTGCATACAGAAATCCTAACAAATCATCTAAGCAGCAACTGTGTCTCATCAGAGACTTTCCATCACATTCAGACAAACCATTTTCCCCATGAGAATGCGAGTCAAAAAAATAAAAATCATTGTCTGAATCTTTGTACAGTGCAGAACATATTGAGCCAATCATTATCAATACATACCTAGATAACCCCAATGCTTGTTGCAGACATTCATGTAGAGTTTGAATTTGATTTCTCTTATCATCTGTAACTAATAAGCCAAACAATGTATCAAACTTATCAACCATGTGGTGATTTTCACCAGAATCAATATGAATTGGTAATTCATCAAACATCAGTAATCTACTTTTAAGTTTTCCAGCACTCTGAAGATTCTTCACAACTGTGTTGTACAAATTATCTCCCTTGAGCAGAGTCTGATCTAAAAAGGAACTAGTAAATGAAAAATTTTCATATGAATTTGACAACATCATAAGTGAATTGCATGTACACTGATTACCTCTTGAAAATGATGAAAACCTCATGCTTCCCTGATGGAAAGATCCAAACACCAGATTATCTGAATTCTGATGCATACAATTACCTTGCAGTGCATGTGTTGTTTCATTTGGTATATTGTTCATTGTAAACGGAGTAATATTCTGAGTTGTAATCTGAGAGATATTCTGAGTAAGAAACTGAGAGGAATTCTGAGTAATCATTTGAGGCAACATTTGAGCCAGAGGCAACATTTGAGGCATAGTTTGAGCCAGAGGCAACATTTGAGGCATAGTTTGAGCCAGAGGCAACATTTGAGGCATAGTTTGAGCCAGAGGCATAGTTTGAGTCAAAGTGGTCTCAGGGAGAGCCGCAGAGACCACTGTCACAGGGGTGGTAGAGATCACCCCTGCCGGTACAGATGTCATAGGTGTTAGGACGTGGCCTACACCCAGAGGCACAGATGGTTGGACGTGGCCAACATCTGTGGGGTACTTGTCACCCACATCTGCCTTACATGCATTCTTCTTTACAGCAGCTTTCTTCCAGCTCTTCTTCCTAGGCATTCTGTGATCTACAATATAACAATGTTATAATCTATACTGCATTATAAAGATCAGCATAGCCTACACTTGATACTATCACACATTCTCAAATTAATAATGCTGCCATCACTGTAAAATGCAGATACTTTTTAAATTATAAACTTATTTAAAGTTTGTAGCACAAATCAAATTTAACAAGGCTGGGGTGGGGCAGCCATTTTCAGACTATTTTGATCTCCTTCAAAAGAAGAGCTCCATATAAAGATATACAAAAATGATCAAATTTTAAAACTTAAATGAAATATTCTTTTCTTTGCCAAATGATAGTTGACAGCATAAGATATCGTATCTTAAAAAATAAGTTATATCTAGTGGTTAATTTATGGTTAATTTGTTGACCCCCCAGCCTCCTTAAGAAAGCAGAAAGTTAAAAAAAATTTAAAACCTGAAAGTTAAATTCAAAATTACACCCAAAACATATGACAACATTCAGTTAAAGAGGTCACTCGTGTGACGCAGTGGTAGGAGTGTCTGCTATAGAGGCACAAACTAAGGAGTTTATCCTTAGTTTGCTGGTTTGAATCCCACTGTGGGATGTGGAGACTGTTCCTTTGGACATATAAATAGAGGTCCTGTGTCTCTGTAAGTGCTTGCATGAAAAAGATCCATCATTGCTCAATGGCCCCGAGTGCAAAGTATAGGACAAAGTTTGTAGATCTCCACCTGCAAGTGGTGGCATCTCATATGAGTGAAAATTCAGAGGGTTGTTAAATAACATACAATCAATCTTTTTAAGAGACGCAAGTTACATGCAATTTGTAAACCACTTTCACACAAGACTTACCTCGAACATGTGTCACACATTTCCAGAAATTATATGTACCATATAAATGTACATTTACTGGCATAGCTTTTGTGCAATAATCCAAATTACATTCCTAACCATTGTGGTATTTCATAAAATTTTATAGAATTTTTTTTTATCATGTTTATCGAGGACTGTTTGTACATTGGTATTGTATTTAATCTGCAGTTAAAACTATCAAAGCAACCCTTTAAGCCATTTCAAGTTTTTCTGTTATGCCACCACATGCATCTTTATTTTTCATAACTCATATCAGAAATTACAAAGTCAGGATTCTTAGAATTTGCTATTTTGGTCAAAACCTTTTAATTCAGCCATTTCCTCTAAATATTCCCCTAACATGTGTTATAATTTGGTAGCATTTAAAACCTTGAAATTTCTTTGGAAATTCCTTTGAATTATATCACTTTTATCACCATAAAGTCTGCAAGTTTTCAGAGTATATATAGTTTTTGTGTCCACAAAAACTTAAACCTTGCCTACAACCTTTGAGTGGCTCCTCACCCACTATGGCTTTCACATTTCACAGTTGTATTTCTTGTGACAAGAACTTTCTTTGAGCACTACCAAATTTGACCTTTTGACCTTGGAGTTTGACCTACTTTTTACTAAAACAATACCATACTTTAATCTTGGTCTTAACTTTTGAACATATGGAGCTAGAATAAAGATTGTGCTAAATTTTACAGGTCCCATATGGGTCACAATTAAAGCTAAGAAACATTTAAGGACATTGATAAATGCTACAAAAACCATTTTATGAATACTTGAACTCTGTCAAAAATGATCACCTCTTCTAGGTCAAGAATGGTTGAAACAATATCAAGGCCTTAAATGAACACTAAATTTTGGATTAAATTTTATACCGCCAAGATTGAATATGGGGTCAGACTAATATCAGGAAATGGACAATACTGCAAGCCAGTGCAAGGTTTTTATTTTTACTATACAAAAGAAAACATTTTTAGTCTAGACAATCTGTAAATGTAATTAGAGTGAGGGCAGCAAAGGTCGCGAAGTGAGCTCAATAGACTAACGTGTAAGAACAGAGTAAATTTGGAATGAAATCTGTACATATGTCAAGCAAATTTTGTTGTGAGACCTTCCCAGAATTCCTTTGCTACCCAATACCCTTTGCACAAATAAATAATAACATAAGGCATAGACTTTCAGTATGTAGAAATCTGAAAAAGAAACAAAAAATAACTCTGCAATGTCTTTCAACAAAAATCGCACTAGGTCTATTAGTCTCAACTAGACGCTTGGCTGTTTCCGTTTACCCTGACGATCTCTCGTGTGACGTAATAATCTAGATGTCTCATGCCACTTGACGTTTGCAGTGGCAGATCAACATTTCAGTTGTATTTTTTAAAGTACAAGTGCGCTCGCCCAAATGGTCACACCGTAAAACATATTAATGAAAAATACAAGTCTTATTTCTGGATAACTACCTTTAAACCTTGTAATCCCAAAAAATAAATACATGTAGTCATTCTAATGAAAGATGGAACTAATATTAGTAATATATCCATTGATTGCAATATTTTTAAAAATATTAATTCCCATTCCGTTTCATTATATCAATAATCATGATATATTGTTTAAAGTTAACAAAATATTATTTCCAACTTTCAATTATTTTAATAGAAAATGCCCATAAAACAATAATGAACTGCATGTAGATCTGTAGTCTTTTTATTCTACTGTTTTCTTTTTTTTTAGCATTTTACACACACTACTAAGCTTTATTTTGAACCTGTGCAGGTGATATTTCTTGTCTCCACGATTGACACAAAATCACGATTTATGTAGGAGTTTCCTTCCTGCAAATTTCAATAAACACTTGTACTGATACTTTTACTAACGATAAGTTATCCTTTAAAAACATGTACTGATGAGTCATGACAGGTGTACCTATATGTGCAAGAGTAACTTTCACATTTACAAAAGTTATTCCCCTTTGTGGGGACTATCCAGGGTCAACTGGCATAAGGCACTGTTTTCCCTCTATAACCTTACCAACTTTATAGGTCAGTATCTTAGTAATAAAATCTGTATGAATATGTTCATAATTTACATGTTACCCCATACTATGACAATAAGGTACAGATCGAAATTGTCTGATAATGTTTGAAAATAGATAATATTAAAGTAACTTACAAAGGACAAACACAGTGGAAAAAGGAGCGTTACGCCGACAAGGGGTGAAACTCTTAGAGGTGTCGAGTGGTTACGACCCGATTCCATGTTCGACCCGCGTGGTAACGACCCGAGTGGTTTCGACCTACTTATAATTATATACATACAGGTAAATAGAGGGGTTCACACTATAAGGTATGGTGTATACCTTAGGTATACACATGGTTTCAAGGTAGCAGTATGGCTTCAGGGAGGGATACGTGTCAATTATTGGTTGTCAACATTGAAGTCAATAGTAAACTTGAGATTGATTTTAGGACAAGGATGCAATTAATTTCATTTGAAAAAAATTATAAATAATTTATAAATATTTGAACATTTTCCTTAAAAACTAATCAGCCCTTTGTGGGATAATATATGAATTTATTGTCTATAAATGTAATAATAAATAGTTTAGATAAACATAATTATTTAGCAATATTTTTAATAATGAATAAACAGTCACGATCGGTTAAAAAAATCTGAATATTTTGAATTAGACCCCCAAAAATGTTTTTAAACTATTGAAATTGTTATAATTAATATTGCTTCGGAACGAAACCACTCGGGTCAAAACCACTCGGGTCGAACAAGGAAAAGGGTCGAAACCATGCGGGTCGAACAAGGAATCGGGTCGTACCCACCCGCATTCCTCTTAGAAATGTAAAAAAAAATGTAAAATTCGTCTATTTATGTTATGCAATGACAAACTATTACGCTAATTTTTAAAAAAAAAATAGATCATCTTCTCAATCTTCTTTAACACTAGTAAAAATGTAGCAGTATCTAAATGGACTTGTTTTTCTCCGTGTGACTTTTCTCCGAGAGACTTCAACTGCGCAGTATTCAATGATCGCTGTGCCTAAACAATTGCTGCATGAACAAATATACGCAATGTTGTAATTATTCAACTAAATCCTCTACTCTTCAAACCTTACAGAATGAAAACAACAATCGGCAAATGAATACTTTTGTTTCAGATCCGTGTAAACACTAAATTTCACTTTACTTCAGTTACTTCTTCGCCGTCCACATCAAAAATGGCTGACGTGTGCCTCGTTTTCATTTATTTGGTACACCGCGCCCGATCGAAAAAAAAAATAAAGGTAAACCTAATCTGTTGATACATGTATAATTTCGTACGGCCACAAACTAGACAAAATTGAATGTGCACTACATAAGGTTACTTGCACATTAATGTAATTACTCACAGCTCTGTTGCCTATGGGATCTGGGGAAGAAGATTTTTAAATTTGAAAGATTTTCTGACTATTCTTATGTAAAATTTACTCATCCATTACGGCCCCACCCTTGCCCCAGGGGTCTTGATTTGAACAAACTTGAATCTACACCACCTGAGGGTACTTCACTATGAGTTTCATCTTTCTTGGCCAAGTGGTTCTTGAGAAGAAGATTTTTAAAATACACCATTACTTTTTCACTAATTCCTAATTATCTCCCCATAAAAGAGGGCATTGCCCTTCATTTGTACAAACCTGAATCCTCTTCACCTAAGGATACTTTATGGCAAGTTTGGTTGAAATTGGCCCAGTGGTTCTTGAGAAGAAGATGAAAATGTGAAAAGTTTACAACAACGACAACGACAACGCCGACAACAACGACAACGCCGACAACGACAACGACAGACAACGGACAAATTCATCCAATTTGATCTCTAGACGACCATTTGTCCGATCGGTACCATCTCAGATGAATATCTAGGAAACATTAACTGAAGTTGGGTTCGAAACCATTCAATTGATCGTCTTTCTTAGATGACTTCAAAATACGAGGGTTGATCCAAAAGTAATGTCACAACTTTGATAAAATTGCTATAAATCGACGTAAAGCCACAAGATTAAACATGTTGGAAGCTTTATTTATTTCAAATCAGACCTGAAAAATTCAAAGGAATATGATGTCTACTTTTCAATATATCGGATTTTAAACAATGCGCATTTATGGTAGTCGCCGCACC